AAATTATTTCAAGAGCGTTGCGAGCGTTAACTGGAACGCACTCATACACATAGACAGCCATTGTTAGAAGCAGAGAGGATCCTCTCTGGGTAGAAGCAATTGGCGCTAGTGTACGGGGAGGTCAAAACTTTTATCGACTTTGATGTTGCGAAAAACGCCGGAATGGCCGCTATCATGATTCTCTCTTAGTCTGGTACTCCAGGTCTCCAGCTTGGTTCCAGTCGACCAGTCGTGGCAGTCGTGGAGACTCGTGGTGACGCGTGGATCGTGAATCGCCATTGCTATTTATTTTTTTGGTTAATCGCGGTATTTTAGATATTGGATCAAGCGATTTTTATCACTTGGCTAATAATAAACATATTGCAAGAAAAATGGTAAGTCTTTGATGTTACATTATTGATATAGAAATAACGAAAATTGTACATGTATGATGATATTGCATTTTATTAGAAGTTATCTTTCACCTCTATTTGACCTTTATGTAAGTCCTGTGTTGTGTGTTAATTCACTTGTCAACGATTCTCACATACGCTTATTAAATGTTTTTCCAATTTTAATTTAATTATTTTTTTGTACAACATGTAATAATTGTGTTTTAATAAATAAAACAATTTTTATATATCTAAAATGTTACAATTGGTTAGAAACTTAATGTTTTTCTTATCCTTAAAAATAGCAAATCTACAAATAATTGTAGAATATATATAATATTAGTGATTAATCTTTCTGTTTGAATATAATACAATTGCAGGAAAAACTATAATTATTAAAACGTAATATAATTGTTAAAGAATAATTTTTTTAAATTTTATATTAGACGGAACCTATAAATGTGGTGGTTACTGGTGCTGCTGGACAGATTGCCTATTCTCTATTATATCAGATTGCGGCTGGTACAGTCTTTGGTCCACAACAATCCATTAATCTCCGATTATTAGATATTCCACCTATGATGAAAGTATTGGATGGTGTAGTTATGGAACTGGAAGATTTAGCACTTCCTCTCTTACGAGGTGGGCTTTGAGAGGTCATACATAAAAAACTGATTTTAGATAAAATATATTATATAAATATAAATATATTACAAAATGTTGTGTGTGTATGCGCACGCGCATGTGAGGTGCTTGTTACTTATATGTCTGTGAGTTATAATAAGTATAGTAATAATAAAGAAAGATAAACTATGAGAGAAAGAGAGTATAGTTTAATGTAGAGTTTTAATATTTTAGTAGATTGTTTTAAAGCTCACATTTATTGTTAAGAAAAAAAAAAAAAAAAACGAAATAACAGGGGTTTCTTGTTTTTTTAATCTTGTAAGATGAATTGATAAAAAAAGACGATAAAAAAATACATGTTTGATGAATCCATGTTGATAGTATAGATTTTAAATATATTATACTTAATTATATTGTCTTGTTGGATATTTATACATTCTATATTCATTAATAGTTTAATTTAAATTTTTAGAAGTTTTACCAACGGCTGAGCCAGTCAAGGCCTTTGATAACGTAGCAGCTGCTTTTCTGGTTGGTGCAATGCCAAGAAAAGAAGGGATGGAACGTAAAGATCTTTTGGCCGCAAATGTAGAAATTTTTAAGGTGCAAGGCGAAGCATTGGATAAATATGCTCGTAAGGATGTCAAGGTGTTGGTTGTAGGTAATCCTGCCAACACTAATGCGCTTATCTGTTCACATTACGCGCCGTCCATTCCAAAAGAAAATTTTACGGCGATGACTAGATTGGATCAAAATAGAGCACAGGCAGCATTAGCCACACGATTAAATGTACAGGTAATATAGGTATATCATTATTCTTGAGACAAAACTTTTCGCTTAACTTGACATTTTTTATATTAGCAATACAATGTAAAACTATACTTGGGCTGTCATAACATTATATGTATTATTTGTTATCTTGAATATTCCTATCCTAGAATTTCATTGATAGGTTGATAAAGTGAAGAACGTCATCATCTGGGGTAATCATAGTTCTACACAATATCCTGATGCAGCACATGCAACTGTAGCACTTTTATCTGGTGTAAAAACAGTATCATCTGAGATAAATGATGACGAATGGTTGAACAATACTTTCGTAGAAACGATTCAAAAACGCGGCGCCGCCGTAATAGCTGCTAGAAAAATGTCTTCTGCCATGTCCGCTGCTAAAGCCGCTGGAGATCATATGCGAGACTGGTGGTTTGGTACTAAATCTGGAGAATGGGTTAGCATGGGTGTCGTATCTGATGGGAGTTATGGAATCCCGAAAGATATCGTATTTTCCTTTCCTGTCACTATCAAGGACAAGCGGTATGAGATAGTGCAAGTAAGTTATTGCATAGAGTCTTGAAGAATCTTGAAGTAATTTTACTTCAAATATATGATATACGAATGTTCCAGATATCTTACATTCTCTTTTTTATGTTTAGATTCTTTTAATTATTTTAAGATACTCTATGTTCTATATGTATATTAACGCAGCGATTTAATTAAATAGTTTGCACTTTTATACAAGTAGCAATAATGGTTTTTTTTTACATAACTATCCAATACCAAAGTTATCAAAAACAAACGTAATTACATTTACAAGCCATTTAGAAAAAAAAAAAAAAAAAAAAAAAACAAATCTATCTCTATTTTCAGAATCTCCCAGTTAGCAACTTTGCAAAGTCAAAACTGGATATTACATCTAAGGAATTAGAAGACGAACGTGCTGAGGCAAACAGTGTACTAAAAAAGTGACTAGTAACATCGATGCCAAACAATGAGATACAAAAGAAATTTATGTTAGCAAAACTATAAAATATATAATTGTCTTGCATAATACGCTTACATATATGTATGTATGTACATACGTACACATATATGTAATAGAGGAACACACACACGCGCGCGCGCAGCACTTCTCAGTAAAATTCAAGCATTACTATTCTGTCCTTCAAAAAATAGGCAAATTTTAAGAGAATGTAACTTTATAAAAAATGATGTTTAATTACGATGTTTAAAAAAGCATATTTTACAGCTTCAAGTGTCTACTTTTCAAATAGACCCTTTAGAGAACGATATTATTTTTAGTAAATTTTTACCTTTAATTTGCTATTTTGTTAAGCGTTGTGCAATTTTTTCACTGAGTTATTCAATATTGTGGAAAAAAGGATCCTTTTTGTTTCCATCAAAGGATTATCTATTTTGTCATTCCAAAATGGGCAAGGATCAAATAACTTCATAAAAAAATTATCATATCGAGATATTTATAAAAAAGCATTTTATAATTTGAAGTCTCTACTTTTCAAGTAGATCTTTTCTAACGATCTTACTGATTTTTTTTATGAATTACATAGAAACAAATAGAGATGCGTCAAATTTCTCTTAAAATTTGCCTTTTGAAGGACATAATAGGTAATTCTTTAACTTTGCAAAAAAGCGCGCGCGCGCGCGCGCGCTCACACAGACACACACACACACACACACACACACACACACACAATTATTTCATACATCAAGGTGTTCTAAAAATTGAAATGAATATAAACGCACTAAAGAGATTTGTAGTAATGTAATGCACACCTTATTACAGGTTTTTTTTACTCAAATATTGGAACACCTTATATAATGTATAACTCAATGTAAATAGACTATATAAAAATCTTATTAGATATAAAAGAATTAAAGCGTTAATACGTTAATACGTAATATCAATAAAAAATGTAATGTTATGTTTTAAATTTAATGTTATAGATATATGTAAATTCTTGAAATGTATGGTATACATAATATATATAATATTGACTTTATAAATCTTGTAAAAAAAGGTATATATCGGGAAATATACTTTACAGCACTGTTTTGCTTTTATTTATCTTCTTCATGAGAATAATTTAATTTAATTACAGTAATAATTTTTAGTGTCAATATCATATTATTCAATCTTCTCACATTTATATTATCTTTATATCTTATTTTCTAAAAACTATTATTACAATTATATATATCTTGAATTTTTTTCTATTATAATAATCGCGCGTGTGAGCATTAAGTAGCATATTATACAAGGATATAGTATTTAGTTTATCCGAATCTGGTAACACTCGCAACATAATATCGCAACTCGTTTCTTTCGTTTCACATTTAAAGAGATACTCTTGCATTTTGAATATTTAGAAGTTAGATAATACATAAATATACAGTTAGGGAGCAGGTATTTAAAAGCTGTAAATATATATTGGTCTAAATACTATACGAATCATCATCTTCAATATCATTAATCAAAATTATCATTTTGCGAATATGTCAATTTCGATTTACATAATTTTCTTTGCGTAAACATTTACAGCGCAATAATCTATTTACGTAATATATGCCTACAAGTATTTTTAAAATAAAGAAAATAAAATAGAAATTTTTCCAAAATTTGTTTTTTGCACACACTATTTTCAAAGTATAACATTTTTAATGAAGATAATATGGCTGTTTACGTGAAAAACTTTCTCAACAAACTCTTTTTGTCTCACGAAAATAGCAAATATATAATGTTCAAAACACTTGTAAGTATAAAGACATTTTATGAAAAATAGCTTTTTAATATTCGACCAATTTTATAACAGTTTATGCAATTAAATGTTTCAAAACATGTCATTTCCAGATGTCTTCCAATGTTTTAATATTTATAATACACAACGCGCGCGCATTCACGCATGCATGCGTATGTGTGTATTTGGACAAATGGTTTTTGACTTGCAGTGTACAAGAAAATATAGTGATACGTCTGTTATGAATCATTGTGACGTAATATTAAGGTGCAATATATTTGCGGAAATCTAATCAATTACATAGTTTACAAACTGTAGATTCAATCAGACTAATGATATCTATATTAAAATAAAATAAGATGATATTTCATGCCAAATTTAAATTACATTAAATATAAATATGTATATTATATATATATATATATATTTTTTCGTCCTACTATATTTAATATTGGATTGATTCATAAATAAGTTCTGCAGTAGACTAATTTATTTTTTTAGAATCCGAAATTACCATAATTATATTCTAATAATTTTTATATTTACTTAGTAATAAAGGATTCCTCAGTTACAAATTAGAATGTATTAATGTAGTATGTACATCATTTTATGAAATCGTGAAAGATTTGAAAATGCACCACATAATTTGAGAATTCAAATAAAGAAATAATGTAACGATTCAAAAAATTACAATACAATTATATATAGTATCATAATAGATCAGTGAAGTTTCGTTCGTTTTGAAGAATGAATTATGAAACGATCCCGAATCATTGTTGTAGTTTCAACTCCAATGACGATGCTTTAAAGTTGTTGATGGAAATAAATGAAAATCCAATAAGAAACACAATAAGAAATGCTAAACATATTATATTAGCTTACTGCGTCTCATTTAAAAAAATTTGAAAGAAAACGAAAGTTACTTATGAATCAAATCAATTTATATATATACGAAATATTACAAAGGTTATTATACAGAAAATTAACGTGATTTTAAGAGAGCTTAAAGCATTGACTGATAAATGTACTATGATTTATTGATCATGGATTTACTGAAATAGTAAAATACATTTTTCAATATAGATATCTGAAAAAAAAAAAGATAGAAAAAAGCAACAAGAATATACGGAATTACTTTTCTAATCTAAATTAAAAGATAAAATAAAATACGGAGGCGAAACGGAAGACCAAAGAAACATATTTAACATTTTAGACACGTACTTTTGCTATTTGTGTGTTTAATATTCGTACCAGAAAAATAAAATTATCAAATTACAATAAAGGCCGTACACAATCGTTCTTACACAATGTACCTCCCCCCCCCCCAACCCACACACACACACACACACGCACGCACACGCGCGCGAGCGCGCGCATGTACAAACATACACATCTCGATCTGTTAAGTATAATTTTTTCCGCATAATCTATGACTAATTTAAATCTTGAGATAAGAGAATAAATTCAATTCAAATGAAACCCTCTTTCTCGGGTAGCAGCCAACAGCCTTTCCTTTAGGATTTCCTCAGTAGGATATTCTGGTAATTTTAAGTAATGAACACAGGTGTTAACAGAAGGATAACCACCAGAACCAGCATCCACTTTCCGCACAACAGTCAATCTGGGATGTAGATTGCATAAACCTCCTGGAGGTAGAGCCGAACAACCGGTGGCAAATTGTAAAAACGCTTTCCTTTCAGAACCAGTCAATGATAACAGTACATTGACAAATCTTTGGAAACCAGGGCTGAAAAATTCCATTAAATAAAATAATGTGGGATTAACGCTATCTATCATGCAAGTTCACTAAATCCAAATCTATTTTTATGAATAGTGCATAGATTGCTTATAAATTATAAAAATAAATTACGATACAATAGTATATAGAATATAGTATATATTGTCATTGATACTGCGCCTTACCTTTCCTTTGTGTATCCTAGTTTTGGCTCGGTGTAATTGAGCAAATCTTCTCTTGTCCATTGTGGATTTTGTTCTCCACAAAGCATCGCTCTCATTTCATCTGGACTAAAAGCGTGGAGCTTTTCCATCGGAAAGACTTTTGAAAAGCCTGATTTGAACGCTTCAAGTTGTCTATAAATTCCCTGGTTAAGGCAGTAATTGATGGTAAGATTCGCGTATTCTCTTGCGTTTTCTATCGTCACTGCAATGTCCGAGCCACCTTCCATTAATTCCACTTGATCATGTTGAAAAACTTTCGAACTTGGTGAATACGTCATGGTTAATGCTAAATCCTCGATAGCCACCGAAGTGCCCGATGGATGAGTAATATACAATGACGTTTCTTCATCAGCGGAGCTTGGACCATCAGAAAAAGTTCTATCACGCTTCGTGATCGCATTTTGTATTTCTCTTAGAAATTCTCCCCTTACAGGATCCACCTCGACAAGATCCTCAATGTCTAATAAACCGGCGTACCATGGACAACAAGGTTCTAACGAAGAATACGCAGCATCAGTTTCCCCTTCTTCCGATATAAAGCTGCTTGACATGCTAGATGACATGCTCTCCTGCGTAACGCCAGTAAGACCGATCTTTTCATTGACATTGTTCGAGATATCACCACGACACATTAATTTTAAGAATGGACGGGATAATGGTAAATCTACTAATCTATTATCCTGGAGAACTTTTGCCAAGAAGACTCCTAGGAACCAGAAATATCGAACAGCACGATCGCAACATGCCGAATCTTGCGGTAATGGGGCTGGGAATAAGCCGCTGGCTCGCGTTACGTAATATCCTGCAGGCCGAATCTTCTCTCCGGAAATACTACACATTTGCTCTTCATTTAAGAGCCGCGTGGCATTATCGTCGGTGACGCTGTCGTCGCATAACCAAAGACTCAAATCCTTGCGTTGCAATTCCGCTGCGACTAGTGCAAAGAATTCCAAGGTAGGTCCGAGACCTGTGCCCTCTTCTCCTACAAACGCTACCTCGAGTATACTCTTGCGGCTTGCGTGAACCTATGAGAGAAAAAAAGAGAACGAGATAAGTAAAGGTACGTTGTATGTACATGTGCACGACGTTGTTGCATTGTTGAAAATTGCACATGTACATAAGGAGCATGCAATTATATCTTTTTTTTCTCTTTCCTCTTTACCTTCAACACTTGCTCCGCCCAATCTAATAATTTCTCCCCTCTCGGCACGTTGACTCTTTCATGCTTAAGCCTACCGACACGAAATTCGTGGCTATCGTCACGTCGTGGACTTAGACCTGGTGCTCTTTGTCTTTCGAGGATTGCATCTCGCTGCGTTTGTAACCATACGATAGACCGTGAAGCACCAAAAGCAGTGCAACTGAAATAGAGTCGTCTCGTTTCGAAAGGTAACAAAAACGGACAGCTTCGCGCGAGTTCTTCACACCAATTGGGCAGTGCACCAGCGGCCAGAGCCAATGGATCCTGAATTTGTTGTACAATCTTGTTAGTGATTTTTTTGGACGTGAAATCATCTGGATGAAGCCAGTAAGTCGTATCGTTCGATTCGTCCTGCTCTGCCGAGGCCGCGCCCTCGTCCCGAATAGTGCCCAAGACAAATATGTGTCTCAAGAGTTGCAGAACGTCTTCAACGGTGCATGCATTTGCGTTTTGCGTCGGATTACGAGAGTACAACGTTACGATCGGCGTTGCTCTGCCAGACGACTCTTCGTCTCTAGCTTCCTTATATATTATTCTACATGAAGAAATAAAATTGATAGGATCGGTCAAACAGTAATCTCTGCCGGTTCTTCTTACAATCATACGTATTTTAAGGATACAAAAATTGTAAATTAAAATTATTATTACGTGTAGGTTGGTTCCCATATCCTTTTCAATTTTTCTTGACGACTGCCCAATTCGGTTAACTGCATTAGTTCCTGGACCGCTTGAAAAATACTAGCGTGCGAATCAGAAAGTGATATCTCGACATCGGGTATACCTGGAAATCCTGGTCCTTTCAACGATAAAGAAAGTCTAGGCATAGGCAATGATCCTATGCGACTATTAACTTGTGTCTCGCTGCCAGGAGGGGGAACCTCCAAATCAGTTGTCTGTTGTAAAAATATCCCAGAATGCAGGTGCAATTTTTACCAAAGTAATGGTATCTAATTTATTATTACGCACTAATTACATTATTTACCTGATTAATGTTCGTTCGACCAGGACGTGGATCAAAAGCAGGAATAAGAGCAGAAAACTGACGCTTTAATACAAACTCATCGTCCCATGCACGCCTCTTGCTACTCTGTGGCGCTTCCTCTTCCATGAATGCTGCCAGGAGATTACGACTTACCATTACTTCTTCGTATTCACCTTCGCAACCGTCACCTTCCTCTTCATTCTCTTCATCTTCTTCCTGAAATAATATAATAATAACAATTACGTGTCTCGTCGCGTATGACACAAATTATTATTAATTATTTACACATTAACAAACAGTTCCGATGAATTAATTAATTCATTTAATTATATTAATTTTGATATATATGTTGCCCAAGTTATAATCCTGATTATCATCTGATAACGTGATTCTAAAATAAATCGTTCAATTTTGTAGACGTATTCTTTGATTAATTAGATTGCGATTTAATTTTTGCGTAGCAAAAATATCAAGACATCAACAGCTTGAGCGAATATTATTCATATAACAAAGAAGCGATAAGAAGAATTATAAGAAATCGCGCAATCTCAAATCTCCAAGGAGATCGAAGAATCGAAGGATATCTGATGAGTCGAACAACCACAATGAAACTGCTTACAGACTTATCTTAGAACTATTATTAATACAATTCTTGTATATTGAAATGAGGCGCAATTACTTCTTGATCATTTTCTTCGTTATCTTCTTCTTCTTCCAAGACACCATCTTCGTCATCTTCCAATTCAGTCAAAAGCGTTGGTCCACCGGTAGTACGGCCTCCACCGGTGCTAGAAGTTGCTACACCTCCGCAGGATTCCAAGAAATCTTCAAGACTGACCTGAAACCATAAATAAATATTTGTATTATGTATATTAAGATAAGCGAGATAAAATCTTCTTTCAAGTAAATAATAAATAATTTTTGGAAGGAGGGACATTACATTTCAACAGAATACATTAGTTACTCAAAAGGAAATTATTCAATTGTAGTTTTAATTTTACCTGCTCACTGTCGCTACTTGTACTAGTCAGAGACATAGTAAGCGCTTGTCCTAAACCCGGTCCAGTTGTCGTAGTAACGCCACTACCAGCCACTTGTCCACTACTTGTCAGACTTGGATAACTTTGTGCTGTACTAAGCAAACCACCAGGAAAATTGGGACTGAGTGCCAATCGTACGAGACTAGATACAGAATTCGGTCCTCGAATTGGATTACAACTTGTATTAGAATTTGAAGCGAGATGTTGTCCGCCCGCAGGTCCTAGAAATGTTTTTGTTTCTTGAAAGAATTATTTGCTACGAAAGAAATGTAATGTTGCAAAGAGGCAAATTACTATCCTAGTGCATAATCCTAATGTAAATAAATATAATAAAAAAGTAGTACATATAGTAATTTTGCAGAAATTGCAGATGTAAAAGATGTACGTGTATGATAATAGAAATGATGATAATGATAATAATGTACAATGACGACAAATATGATTTTGCAGCATGTAATTATTTAATTACAAATTGGAACTAACCTAATGTTCGTCTTCGCGCCATCGCAGCAAAAGTTTCCAACAAACCAGTAGCAGCTGTTGATTCCAAGGTATTGTTAGCATCGGAACAAGCGAGATTAGGCACAGATACCGACATGGGATTGGTAACCACAACAGGACAACCGCCCGTTGTATTTTGCGTAGACGAGCTAGCTTCTTTCTCTCGAGTAGTACAGTCTTTAGCAACTAATTCGAAGGAAATGTACGGAATTTTTACATACGCTATCAACACGAACACGAGGGAAGGAAATCAATATTCGGAGTCACATTACAGTCGTGCGGTCGTGTATCTACCGCATACAAATATGAGAGGTTTTTAAAAAATGTATAGTTACGGACGATCTCCCCCCAGATCGGAAGAGCACACGT